ACTTTGCCTTGGGATGGCCACTTGGCATTCTCGAGCTCCAGTTGCTTGATAGGCTCGGCGTTCAACTCGGCCTCCACTTCCATCGTGGAATACGCGTGAATTCGCTCGACACTGATCATCTGCGTCTGCACTGTGCTCAACATGCGGACGCTCCAGTTGAGACTTTGGGTCACATCGAAGGCGTACGACAGAGCGACTCCGACAAGCCCTGCAAACGTGACGCCGGCGTGGGTTTCATGACCCAAGACAGCAAACAAGGCAGCACCGGTCGCGACCATGGTGCCGGCAAACTCGAGGCGAAGCGCGAGCCAGCAGTTGGACGTAAACTTCAAAAAGTACGCGCGTTGGTTTCGGTCCAAGAGCGACTCGTTGCGCGCCGAGTAGACCTTTTCGACGCCGAACGCTCGGATTGTCGCCATCCCTTCCAATGTTTCCGTGAGCATCGAGCACACAGGAGAACGTGAGATGCTGTCGAGTCGCTGCAATTCCCGCGACGACTTGATGAAGTACCGCTGGCTCGACGCGTAAATGACCGCGATCGGAACCAGCACCACCGTGAACCATGGCGTGACGTACATGACCGTGCACAACGTCGTGAGTACGTTAAACACCGTGCCAAAGAGCATTCCAAAGTTGTCGGGAAGCCCTTCGTCTATGGTGTACACGTCCTTGCTCATGCGGTTCACAATCCGGCCAAGCGGGGTCGTATCGAAGAACGACATGGGCGCGCGAAGGATGCGACCCGTCAGGTCTCGAAACATCTTGTTCGACGCCGCCAAACCCACCAAATACAACACCAAACTGCGAACGTACATGAGCATGATGGCCACCAGATTGAGAGCGATGAAGATGGATAGATAGTACGTCTGCGAATGCACCGAGTCCGACACAGCGTATTCGCTCCAGTACGACAACCAGAAGGTCGCCGACAACGACGTCATGTTGGTCACTACGAACAAAAGCACCACAAACGCAATGCTGGCAACGCCACCACAGGCCGCCATGTACACCACATAAGTCGGCCACGGCACGTCGCCAGTGCTACGGTCTTCGTCTGCGATCAGGGTCGAGTTGGCGCTCAAGACGTCTGTGTCACTGCGATTCGATTCCGTCCGCTCACGGCGCTCGACTTCTTCGGCGCCATCTGGCAATGGTTCGACTCCGGTCAACGTGCAAGGAGAGGCTACATCATTCTCCGCTGCGTGCTCTTGGCACAAAGTCACCATCTTGGCCAACACGCCATCGGCCGAGTCCATCAAACTCTGGTACGTGCCTTGCTCCACGACGCGTCCTTGCTCCAGCACAACGATCGAGTCGCAATCTTTCAAAAAGTTCAACCCGTTCGTGACCAACACGACCAACTTGCCCTTGAGCGCCGTCTTGATGCACTGCTTGAAGATGTCCGACCCGACGTGCGCATCCACGGCCGCCAACGGGTCGTCCAGCAGGTACATGTCGGCATCTACTCACAATGACACATCACGCTTGCGCCAAAGACCAGAGTCGGTGAACAGGCCTACCTTGGTACACGGCACGGGCAATGGCGACTCGAGTACGCTGGCCGCCACTCAAGTTGATGCCTTTTTCGCCGATTTCCGTGAGGTCGCCGCCCGGCAAGATCTTCAGGTCGTCCGTCAAGCTGCTGACCTGAATCGCATTCTGGTAGCGGGCGTGGTCAAACGGGAGGCCAAACGTCACGTTGTCGCGCAGCGTCGCGTTTTGGATGAATGGCTGCTGGCTCACGTACGCCACGGACCCAAACCGGTGCACTTGGCCTGGACACGCCACGTCAGTACGATATTTCTAAACCTTATCATCGGCATACCTCTGGCACAACGAGCATCGCCCAGAATGCCAGACAACAGAGTACTCTTCCCCGACCCGACGGATCCAACGATGGCGACCAGGTTGCCGTCGGTGAGCTTCAAGTTGACATTGTGCAGAATTGGCCCAGGCGTGTCTGTGGGCGGCGCGTCTGTCTTGTCGTGCTGCGCCGCATCCCATTCAAAATCGGCGTGCTGCACCAAGATGGACGTTTCCTTCAACGGTCCCGCCGTCACCGGTTCACGCTCGTCCATGAGGAGGAATTCTTCCAGCCGTCCAAAACTCACTTGAGCCTCCGCCCATGTGTTGACAACATGGGGCAGCATGAACAGCGGAAACTGCAAGATGTTGAACAGCGCCATCGACGTCAGGGCTGTCCCGATGTCGAGTGTGTTCCCGAGGTAAATATACGCGAGGAAGGACGCAACGGCGACCATAGCAGGCAGCCCACTGTAGATCATGTCGGTCCCGGCGCTGGCAAACTTGTACGTTCGAAGGCGCTGGAGCTCGGTCGACCGGTAGCCCATGACCCGGTCCAAGTAGGACAGTTCCCACGCTTGGAACTTGATCACTTTCATCCCGCTCAGTACTTCGTACACAACCTTCATCCGTTCGTCCTTCACTTGCATCAGCGACGCTTGGCAGGCTTGCATGACCTTGGACACAATCGCCGTGGCAGGGATGATGAGGATCATGACGGCTACGCCCGCCAAGAACGCGTAGCCCAATTGCAGGTACAGCAAGTAGGACGAACCGATGATTTGAAATAGCGCGTACCAGAGCGCGTGCAAGTCGGACGGCAAGTCTTCGAGGCGCTCGCCGTCGATGCTCATGAGATTTGTGATCTCGCCCGTCGATTTCTTTGCGCGAGAAGACGCAGACAAAACGAGGGACTTTTCGTACACGGCGGTCACAACGGCCGATCGAAAGCGCATCCCGGTCTGAAAACACAAGAAAAAGTACTGGCGCAACGAAAACGACTGCACGACGCCGGCCAGGAAGATCGCGAGCGCGTACCACAGCCCAGTGCTGACTTGGGCCGTTGGGTCGCTCAGGAATGCAATGATGTACTTGATCACCATCGGCCCCACAAACTGCAGTGAGTCGTGCAACAGCTTGAGGAACCCGGCGCCAACAAACGGTCCCCCAAACGACCAACCGAGCGCCTTCCACATTTGGGGCTTGATCTTAGCCGCCTCGATCGCCCACTGCTTCTTGAACACGGATGACACGTGCACGGCACGGTTGTTCACATTAAGTTGATACAAATCGTCGAACTCGAGCGGGCGCTTGTTCCCGAGATCAAGCATCGGGGTCAGCCAGGAAAAGAAGACGTTGCCAAAGCACCCCGCCATGTCGGACGGGGTCTTGTCCCCCAGGCCATCTTCATGACCATCCAAAACTTTGTTCAATAGAGGTAGCTTCTCGTCCTTCTTGCCGCCTTTAGAGGTCATGACCGCTCGCCGCCGGTCTTCTCACTCGATTGCAACCAATTGATCACTGATCGACCATGCCAGGCAACGAGCGCAAGCCCCGACAAACTGGACACCGTGATTTGTAGCCAATCAAATCTATAAAAAAATCGAAGGTGCATTCTGATTGGCTTTGTCTTTATTCGAACTTGATAAACATATCGTCCAGGCGCCCGTAATATCCGACGGGGTTTGTCCCGCACGAATCCGGAAATGGTATATTTTGAACCAATGAAAATGGTTTCTTCTAACCTGAACGAATCATGTGGAAAGACATATAATACACACACGACACTGAACCGACAATTCCTGAATTTTCGATTGGATGACCGACACTGCATCGGAGTTTGATTCGTCAATTGAAAAAATCGATTTGTGATTGGGCGAGGAGCTTGTCGCGGCGGCAACAT